TGTTTGTAGCGGAACCTATATATGATGAACGAGAGAAAATCGAAGTTTAGTATTGTATCATCACTAGAAGACGTATGCTTAGCAACTAGATCGACAAGTATTATTAAAGATCCGACAGCTACAGTATCTAATTCTGCACCAGATATCAATGTAACTTCTAACATCCAAAACAACTTATCACAGATCATACGATCCCGCATTGCAGAGAATTATATTGTTGTTTGGTTAAATTTAAATATAAACTATTCTGACGAAGATATAGACAACGATATTAATAAACTGAAATACGCCGTGAACTCGGTCAAAACATTTGCTGATCCGAATCAATGCATTGAATTTGTTACTGATGTCAGAGATGAAAAGATATTCATGATTATTTCAGAATCGTTTGGCCAGTCAATCATTCCTCTTATTGAAAATATTACTCAGCTTCACACAATCTATATTATCAATAGTCAACAAATACATGATGAAGAATGCATACAAGGATACAAAAAAGTTAAAGGAGTTTTTTCACAAATCGAATCCATTTGTGATTTACTTAAACAAGATGTTTCTCGACTAATGATTGATTTGACACCATTTAGTATTGTTTCCCCGACATCTTCTCCAAATTTTGATACATTAGATCAGTCATTTATGTATACGCAATTGCTCAAAGAAATTATTCTTGAAATGAAATATGATGATAGTGCAAGACAAGAGTTTACTGATTTCTGCCTTAATTCCTTTTCAGAGAAAGATTTTCAGTCAAAGGCATTATATCAATTCCAGCAATCTTATGAACATCATTCATCTGTCTGGTGGTACACAACAGAATATTTTATATATTCGACACTTAACAAAGCTTTGAGAACTCAAGATAGTGAAATTATCATAAAGATGGGGTTTTTCATTCAAGACCTTCATAAAGAAATTGAACAAAAACACTTACAAAATCATCAGACATCAAACATGATCGTTTATCGAGGACAAGGATTATCAGAGGTTGAATTTAGAACAATACAGAAAAACAAATCTGGTCTTTTGTCCTTCAACAGTTTCTTATCGACAAGTGTTGACCGTGACGTTTCCTTATTGTACGCTGATAGTGCACGTCAAAATCCTGATATAATTGGAGTTTTATTTCACATGGAACTTAATTCATCAAACTCTTCTACACCTTATGCATCAATACGCGATATCAGTAATTTTCAATCAGAAAAAGAAATACTTTTTGCAATGCATTCAGTTTTTCGCATTGATGACATCAAACAAATCAAACATCAATTGTGGCAACTTAATCTAACACTGACCACCGATCATGACCCCCAATTGAAATGTCTGACCGACTTCATAAGACATGAAATTGATGGATCGAATGGATGGCTTCGCCTAGCTTTATTGATGTACAAGATGGGTAAATTCGAAAACGCACTCAAAATACTTAGCATTTTGCTCCAAACAACATCCTCTCACGATATAGATATAGATGATTTCTCAAAAGCTTCTCTCATCACCCTCATTTCTGGCACGCAACTTAGGATGGGAAATTTCTCTGATGCGTTCGCAGATATCCAAAGAGCGCTGGAAATTCTCCAAAAATATGCTCAATCAGATGACCCGATTCTAACAATATTTTACATGATCATCGGCAAAATACATGAGTCAACGGGTAATTACGAGATGGCACTGTCATTCTACGAGAAAGCGCTTGAAATTTATCAAGAATTTCTTCCATCATATCATTCAATTCTAGGTGGAATTTACAATGGCATTGCTACTGCGCATCTCTACATGGGTAACTATGCGATGGCACTGTCGTTTTACAAGAAAGCAATTGAAATTTACCGAAAATCATTTCCATCAGACCATCCAAATCTAGGTGCAAATTACACGTGCATTGCTGTTCTCCATTACGTCATGGGTGACTATGCGGTGGCACTATCATACAGCGAGAAAGCGCTTCAAGTTCACCAAAAATCTCTTCCATCAGATCATCCAGATCTAGCTACAAACTACGAGAGCATTTCTTTTACGCATTATGCCATGGGTAACTATGAGTTGGCACTGCCATACTTGGAGAAAGCGCTTGAAATTCACCGTAAATCTCTTCCATCAGATCATCCAAATCTAGCTCGAAATTACAACAACATTGCTGTCGTGCATCAATCTATGGGTAATAATGCGATGTCACTGTCATACTTGAAGAAAGCGCTTGCAATTTGGCAAAAATCGCTTCCATCAGATCATCCAAATATAGCTGCAAATTACAACAACATCGGTCAGTTATATCAATTAATGGGTAATAATAAGATGGCACTGTCATACTTCGAGAAAGCGCTTGAAATTTGGAAAAAATCTCTTCCATCAGATCATCCAAATATAGCTCTAAATTACAACAACATTGCTTTTGTGCATCATTCGATGGGTGATTATGCGATGGCACTGTCATACTATGAGAAAGCGCTTGAGATCATGCAGAGAGCACTTTCAAATAACCCTCCATGGCTTGCTGCGATGTATAGCAACATGGGTGTGACATTAGAGGAGCTCGAACGATACGATGAAGCTGTCGGTTATGCTATACAAGCTGCTGAAATAGCTCGTGCTTCTTTGGGGCCTGATCATGCAGAAACTGAAGCTTATGAAAATCAAGTTCGCCAACTCCAACAATCATTGTCATTATTATGATTTGGAACTATTAATAACCGCGAATGAAACTGACTTTTTTTCGTATATTTTAATAAACTATCATGCTTGATCAATCAATCTAGATTTCTTCAGCTTGGAATTGCCGATCTAGTTTCATCTAGTTTTGATCGTAAACTGTGTAACTCACGTTTAGTACGTGCAAGTTTCTTTGTTGTTTTTGAGTCGTATTGTCTACAGAATTTGCTTGTTGACGATGCTTATTCTCACTCGTATAATATGTTGAATTACATTGCCAAGGTGTGAAGTAGTAGTGCGGAGTTAATACTTGTGAGTTCATGATGATTTTCGCGAACTAAATGATTTTGGAAATACGAATGGTTCATTTATGATAGATCATAATTAGTTGTTTTCGAGTCATCTTTCCTGCATGGATAAAATAAATATGACATCATTAAGATTATTGTATTGTACTGAACCAAATAAGTAACAATTCGCATGGTGCTACTAAAAGTTAACATCTGAAGCTCTAAACGCCTGGCATTCGAAAAAGATAGGACATAGAATGTGGTGCCAAATTTAAAAGAAAATACAATGAGAAAGAAAATAAAGACTATAATATGCTTTTATCTGGAGAACAACCAAATTTGATTTGCAAAGCCAATAACTGCAATGGTTTCTGATTCCGATTGACTTTACTAAAGGTCTTTAATGAGGATATGTACCTTCACGAAACCGTGTGCACAATTTACTATCCACTGATTACTTAAGGGGGCCCCTCAGAAACCAACTTTCTTATTTTTCATCCGATTTCAACCAAAATTTCGGAGAATGATATTCTAGGCTAGGATAGATTATGGTTAAAATATCTCCCCAAAATCTCAAAGATATGCACAAGTTCTAGTCAATTCATTGGTCAAAAATACCCTTTACGCGGGCAAGGTTTTCAACATGAGGATACTAGCTAAGCATGTCAGTGTGGTTTTTAAATTGTAGAGTGTCCTTAGGGCTAGGTCGTAATAGGACCTAATTTTTGAATTTCCCTTTATTTGATTTTTAAAAATACTTTTTCGAAAAATTTTCAAATTCATGGCCAAAAAACGCGCTAATAAAAATGAAATATCTAAGTTTTTTATTTCAGCAAAAGAGAAATTCAAAAATCTGACTCTATTACAACCTTGGCCCACCTGTCTTCTATGCAATAAAAAAAAATTACCACTTTTATTTTGAGTCATTATTACGAAAGGTTTGCCGGCGTAAACGGTATACCTGAAAAAATTGATTTTGAGAAAAACGGAGAATAAGTTTTTAAAAACGTTATTTTTTTCAATATGGGGGGGTCAGAAAGACCTATGTAAAATCCTTAAATCTCATCATAAAATCAATCAACTATAGTGCATTCGAGAGTAGACACTTTGCTCTATTTAATGAGTTATAAATCACAAAATCGATCAATTTGACCAAAATTGATTTTTCTGAGGGGGGGGGGGGGGGGGTTTAAAAAATTTTTTTAAATTGCGCTTTTTTTGTGTGAGAATTTACTTTTCGTTGATTATTTCGAAGAAGAGAAATGAACAAATGAGTAGACATCAGAGGTTCAACCAGGCCAACGTTTTGCAGGCCTGACCTGCCTGTGCCTGTCATCTCATTGGGTGTGGTGGGTGTGGGTGTGGGTCTAGGACTGTTAAACACATACATTCACACCCATCGCACACCCATCCACACCCCACACCCACACTGACCCACACCCACACCCACACCCACCCACACCCTCGCGGATATCGAACTTTACATCATTAGGCTGCTTTTTGTAGTATCGTACCAAAGGAAATGCATAAAAATAATAGCAAAGGACCTGATCGATCTAAATGTCTCATGAAATGCAAGAAACAAAAGCATTAAAAGAGAGACACTGCCTACCGAATTTTTGCAAAACTGAAAAATAGGTGGTTTTTCTGCGTCAACCGAAACTAATAAGTTTCGACGGTATTTGTGAACTTTGTCCGTATGAAAAGAATCTTATCATGAATAGCTATCATTTGAAAATAACTTAGTTGATTGAGCTTGACAAATAAAGTAGAAATTAAAATTTACTTTTCGCCCAGACTTGTCGAACACCCTTTACGTGGGAGTATGAGTTTATGCGTATTTTCATATTCAACTACTCTTCGATAGTTTTCAATAAAGATAAAATTTCAAGACATCATGATGCACTGTAATTTTTTTTTAAATTCTATTTTGAAGAAAATCGATATTGAGTAAGCTAAAGGATTTTATAAGTCTTATGATTTATTCATCGAATTTCGAATATTTTGAAAATGCTGGATTTTCTAATTCTAAGAATTTCGGTTTTATTTCCTATGTTAAATCGAAGCTAGAATATCATTTGCTTATTTTCAAAAAGCTGGAAATTCATTGTTGAATTCATATGGACATTCCTTGAATATCCTTCCAGAATTCATATAGGCATTCCCTTTTTTTACAGTGTGCAATGAGGCTATGCTAAGTGCTGAGGGTGGATGTATCGATTCTCTTTACTCATTTCCACATCCATGCACATACCATTTCGGAACACCCTATATATCAATTCTCGCTACGAAGTTTTTGAGAATACATTTTTTTTTATAGCTAAGACAGTGAATGAAATTATAAATTGTATCAAAGCATCGAAAAATAAGTCATAGGACTGCAGAGATCTCATATACCATCAATGCGAATGATGGCCACTTGTTTATCTCGTATACAAATTTGGAAACATGCCAGTCCATGCCTATATAAATGAAAAAAAAAGATCGACAAGAAGAGAGCCATAGTGTAGTAAAACTTACGACGAAAAAGAGTGTACCCAAAGCGAGAGTCTTCATTTGAACCGTCGAATTTTGTGAAACTAAAAGATGTGAATCATTATTCATGTTCGCTTCTAGCTCATCAACTCACAATAAATGGAGAATTTTGAAACAAACTTTCCATCAGGTACAGTTGCAAAATCCTTGTAAACAGCACCTACTTCATTGTCACTATCTGCAGCAAGTATCTGTATGATGTTATGGGAAATCAGGTTTTTCAAAATAAAAAATGAGCACATTTATGTCAATTATCTTACCGGAACTCTATTTTCCCAGCAGCAGAAGCAGCAACAGAAGGAAAAGCATGAAAAACTACATGGACCAACAATGTACCAAAATGTGTTTTCATTTTCATCCATGACGTCAAAATAATCTCGAAAACAGCTTACACTAGAAAACGACAAGTATTTATGAGAGCTTGAAAACACATAAAACGCAGAAGTCAATATAAGTTTGTCGAATACTGCCAACTTTTACATTGGGAGATAATTCAACTTGTACTTCATGTTGACAACAATCAGTTAACGCACACCAGCATCCAGCACAACTGTTGAATTCACGAAGAACACGAATGACTTCCTTTAAAAAGCCCTCAGTAAGGTTCATGTGTTATCATCAGATTTTTCTTGTACGAACCTGATTATTCTGATCAGAAATATGGATTTCAAATGACGCTTTATCTCGACACCAAAGATTCTGGCACATGCTACGGCTACCTACCGATATTACACCTACTCAACGTGAAAAAATAAACAAAATTTTCAAACCTATAGAAACGTGGAAGATTGATTGTCCCTGTTCGTTCAATATGGTTATACGTGGAGTAGCATATCGACCTACAGTAAAAACAAACAGACAGCAAGTGAAAGCGATGAATAGGACTTTCAACTGAAGGTACCATTAGAGATTTCTCCTTCCGCGTAAATGCTTAACTTAGAAACTGAAGTAAGGCAGGCAGTAATGTTTGAATTGAACATTGGTGTTGGGTTACTTGTTAATGATGTCACCAATCCATCACTACTTTGTGAAACTTGTGAGTCCAAACCATGCGGCTGTTGCACATGTACACGGGCCATATCTTCCTGCAGAAAAATTTGTTCTCAGACGATTTTCACGATCTGTCTATCCAATAGTTAGTTAAAAATTTACAACTTTCGTCCGGCAGTAGAGATTATAGATTGAAATAGAGCGTTGGTCCTCTTTTAGTATGTGAGTCTTTCTCTGGTCAATAAATATTGTTCCGCTATGCATGAATCTGCAGATTTATATCTGTAGCCTCGTTTTTGTCATTCAGATTAAATGCTATGAGTGAGTGTAAAGCATGTACTTTATTTCGTAATAGATGTTTGACAGCCTCAGCTCGATAGCTGGGAAGAGTGGAACAGAAGCGATTGTATCAAGTTCCAACTCACGACAGCTAAACAGGGGTAGTCATGGGTTGTACTTAAAACTTTTAAAGAAATATCTATGGTTGATATTCCTAACTTTAGAAGCGCTACCTCATAGAAAGACTACGTATTAGAGTATCATTTGGCCCTCAAGTTCTTGTATATGGGACTTCCTTGGATTCTGAAGTCCTACCATACTTATAGTTGTCCAGTAGTACGAAAGAAAAGATCGCCTGAAACCTGATTGTCCGAAAAATAAGTCAGTTAGTTTGTGAGACTCTATTTCACGGTGATATATAGTAGGAAACTACACATATATCCCTCATTCAATACAGCGTCTGTGATAACTCCAGGATCGACCCAAACATGACTACTGGATGTTCGAGTAATCAGTAAAACAGCTTTCTGAAAGTTGATCGATCGAAAACTAGATCGATCCACTTTTAAGGCTCGCTTTCTCGAGAACATCTATAGAGTGCGAACCTAGACATAAACCAGTCATTCGATAGAGCATGCCCAATAACCCTACGGTCGACCCAAGCATGACCAGTAGATGTTCAGATAATAAGAGAGCGAAGTTCTTCTGAAATCTGATTCCTTGAAAACTGGACCAATCCATGTGCAGGATGACTTTTCCTCCTCATCACTTAGGCAACTAATAATATACTCTGACTGCAAGAACTAAGGATATCAAACTATAGTAGAACTTCAGGACCCAATGATAACTACCATTAGTTAAGAAGACGATTACAGAGTCGTTACCGTTATCAGATAATGAGTAATAGAAAAAGATTCCAACAGAGATTCA